AGCAACCAAAACCGGCGCACGGAGGTGCATGGTTAATGGTTGTAAGAACAGAACAGAACATAATATATTCGCCTGTGCTCGTCACAAACATTACATTACTCTTTTACGTACATGGACTAACTGTGATCGCATGAATCGTGTTCCGAACGAAAGTGTAAACACCCTATGAGATTTGATAAGAGGTGTTTGTAAGTTTTTAACATAATAAAAATTTGAATGTGATCAGCGCATATTGCCGTGGTTCGAAATGCGTTCACGAACTACTGCATTCATCCGTACAGTATATATAAAATAGAAAGAAGTAGGAATTATAACTCATTCAAATACATGACACATGTGAATGAAAAACTCACCATCTAATTTGGGAAGTACTACATGATATGTATCCCACAAAACCAGTAGTGATTCCGCATGAATATGCAGATTCGGAATATGGGGAATGAAATCGTTTCCCAACAAAAATGCCATAAAGATCCAATCATCAATGATGCGCTCCAAGTCATATGGGAATGAAAGGGTCTCCTAAACGAAACACAATGGGCTCGGATTAACGAAAGAATGTGGGAAATTCATTTCACAGTTAAAGTGAATCGTCCATTGCTCATTTCTGATACAGATACAAGCCCCCGAGATAAATGCTAAGATGATCCAGGTAGACTGCACAAAGTTGGGTTATGCGCGGAACAAGTGAAACAGTGTAAATAGCTGCTGGTGATGAGTTTATTATTTGAACGGATTCGCACAGTTGATCGCAATAAAAAAGTTTGAAAACTATCCAATTGTTTGTTTGCAGCGTTGTTAACTCGTTTAAAATGATTATGACTTTCATTGCAGCGTGTACTGAGCCAGATGCTGACCGGGTGCACTAAAATAATCCAACAATACACGACCGTATCAAGAAACACATCTTTACCGAGACCTTAAAGAAACCTTCAATTGTAATTAAAAGTAAATTAAATGACGTTGTACACTGGTCTCTAATCCGATTCCCTTCACTTGATTCCTGGAAATGCCGGGGTGTTTTCCCTGTGTGACGACGAACTATAAACAGTTCTCATTAATAGGTTCTCCTCCCGCATTGGTAATCATGAATTCGTACCAAAGTCAACGAAGATAGAATATCTTGACGTCATGTTTGAGAGCCATTCTCAAAGCTACAAAGCTGCTATATTTCTCACTCCGATCAAGAATATTTTCTATTCCCTACAGGTGGATTAATATATTTTTAAATGTGTGCGTAGTTCCCCGCTAGTTGTACTGCCCCCAGTTATTCTCCTAGGTCTGTTGAATACAAAGTTTCTTTCACTAGAAAGATCCGTAAAACGCAATGGCATCACTTCCGACTAACTTGCGGAAACTATCATTGGAAGACACCTAAATGCGCGGTAAAATTTTAGTTCCCAAATACTTACAGACACTCATCATGCATTACGCAACAAAATTGTCAAAGCTGCAGCTGCATCATAAACACGCTCCAGACTGATTAACAATCGACTGATGACGCCAACCGATACAAACTAGTGACTACTTCACCACGAGATTTTAAAAAAGAATGCTCAATCAAAATAAAAACTGTAGATGTTGAGATAATAATAAGGTGCTTTTCTCTGTAATAACCTGTGCACAGAGCGCTTAATGTCATATAATATGCTTTGTTTATGAACCTCTTACTGGCCATCTCATTCGCCAGGGATAAGTAACAATCCGCGTGCGTGTACCAGGACTAATGGGAGCGAAAAAACTGCTGTAACACAAACTGACGGGAATCGATAATTTCACTCACCATGAGGTCTTTAAATTCCAGATCAATGTATTCGCGTAAAACGGACAGATGAGTGATACAAAATGGCATTTCTTCTGCAACACATGTTCTAAAATGGAAAACAGATAGGGGCACGGACAACATAAGCACCTTAACTCCATAACAGAATAAAGCGGAGATCAAAATCGACAGACAAGAGAATATATTAGGTCAGCTTTTGACCAGGTTATAGACAAACGTTTGGAAGCGTAGACAAAACTATTAGTTTTCAGTTTACCCGACTAACTTCAGGCGCACTAAGTACTTTGAACAGCGTGCTGTACGATCGCAGAGGCACTGAAAACGTTAACATTCAGCCATGTGTGAAAAAATTGGACGCGTGATCATTGATAAACCCTGGGTGAAGAGCACGAAAAGGCATACATTTTGATAAGGGTTTATAATTATTTAGAGCATCAAGCTTGGATTAGCCCATTCGATTGTTCAGAGGCACTCTTGATGGTCTTGGAGTGAACCCCACACCCAAAACCATCAAGAGTGCCTGTGGCCTCTGAACAATCGAATGGGCTAATCCAAGCTTGATACACTAAATTGATTGAGCCCATTCGCACAAGGTGATAACCGTCGGCCGTGTAGCCCAGGGGTAAGGGTTTGAAGTCCCGCCCCGACTGAAAGGTGATAACCGCCGACCGTGTAGCTCAGGGGTAAGGGTTTTGAAGCCCGACCCGACTGATCACGGTTCGAGTCCTGACAGGGACACAAAAAGTACGCACTGCTGAGGAGTCCCAAACAGGACGAAACAGCTGTCCAGTGCTCTTTGTTGCTTATCACAAACATTTCCATCGCGTTTATAATTATTCCTTTTCTTAAGGAATTGTTTGGGAGATTTAATTCGCTCCTCATTTAGAGCCTACTGGGTGGGGTCAAACTCGAGGGGAAATAGGTAGGGTGTTAGGGCAGGTTCATGAGAAAGCCAATACCTGAGAAGTGTCAGATTTTAAAGCATTGTCAAATTGCATGAGTCCGTTTATGTTACTAGTAATATTGTTGTTTGCTTAAATTTCGAGAGCATATTTTCCCTAGTTTTCATTGTAATCCGGATTGCTTTTGATATATAGACCCTATTTTTTACACTAACAGTGACTATTTCCCCCTATTTTTTCTTATTTTTCCAATTATTTTTAGAAAATTTAAATTTCCCGATTTTCGCGCCAGGAAAGACTCATTCCGCATCACTGGCCATACTCTACCCTCCTTGGTCTATTTTCCTGTGACTCACTACTTTCAAGCTAATTTCCAAGGTCACTGATGGCCGGTGCCTAAATTGTGTATAAACAGATGAGCTGCCCGTTCTCTCCGCCTTTTTGGTTGAGCCAAATATACAAACTCCCCTGAAGGCCTTCCTTCCTTCTTTTCCTTGGTCGGGTTTCGGGGATCATACTATTTTTGGGGCGCTCTTCTCGTTCGGTCGTGGCTCGTTTGGGATACCGCAGTCGGGCATACCGGGTATTACTACTCCACCGCTGAGTCGTACGGTTTCGTTCATGGGTCTCCACTGCCACACGCATCGCTGGCCGGGGCTCGTGTAGTCCGGTCGTTCTGCTCAGCACAAAACGTTACCACAGTTTTCTCTTGAAAGATTTATATTAATCGCAAGCTTGAGAATCCACCTGTTAGAATCTAATGGGAACTTGGGACAGTTGCATATTCAGTGTGATGTTGCGACCCAGCGTTTCGAAGAAACCCGCTATCCTCCGTTAGTTCAGATCGCCTCAGAACTGGTTGTCGGACTGTAGTCATTGAGACCTTCGTGGAGTCAAATTTCTACCAGGCTTGGAAACCCAAATACGCCGACGACATAGCATAAAACGTACTCAAGTACGAATTCAACAATGGTGGTTCGGCTATGTACTGAGCTGAACAGACAAAGTCTCACTGGAGCTGCGTCCCTTTCTCTTCTTACCTATTAGTTCTGGCGGGACAGCGGGGTGAACGACTAAAAACCTGGATGGAAATCATCCGGCCTAACATGGTGAACCCGGAACTCAAAAATACTCACGCAGCCCACCGTTGTAATAAAAATCGGTTAGCTCCATCTTAGAACCCAATTCTGAACAGCCGAGTGGGAGCAGATGCATTCCGAAAAGTTTATGAAGCCGGCTCAGGATTTTGCAGAAGAGAGCGAAGGATTAAGAAAACACTTCAAATTCACAGCCACTAAAACCACATTAGTTAGCAGTATGAAAAATTGAACATCAAATGAGACGCAACCTCAGCGGGTGAGCGTACTTAAGCCTACCATCGTGGTAACCGGTGGTTAGGGGCACTGAGTGATAGGGCCGAGTGTCGCAAACAGTGGCGCCTAGGTATCTACTCTTTTTTACAGTCGATATGAATCTTCCATCTTCTCTGTGACTCTGCTCTCAACATTCCAATTTTCATTCTGCTCTTTTTATCTAAATGGACGGCCAAAAGACAGCAACCAAAACCGACACATGAAAATGGTTAATGGTTGTGAAAACTGAAACTGTATTCAAGCCTGCCATGGAATTGGCCCAAACAGAATAAATCCTGAGGGCCATCTACGGTGCATGCTAGACTCAGGTCAAAAAGAAAGTTCACGGTGGAATACCCCAGTTCATCAGTTACAGGAGACGAAAAGAGAAAATAAATGACGTCGAAAAAAGATACCTACCGGGATTTCACAACATTTTCTCGTAAAATGCACATATTGATTTCGTGTGTGGTCAAACCAAGAAAAATCTACAGGGAGGAAAACAAACAGTTACCATCAGATTAAGATCGATAATACAGATATTATCAACGGTTTACGATTTCGTAAGAAACGCACCAAGAAGGCTGAAATTATTTCTGTATTACATGCCGGACAGCGAACAGCGTAAAAATAGCATTACGGAGACAAACAAAGCAGAGTAGTTTCAGCTTAGGGATAGTTACAGCTATCTCAAACCCTAATTATATAGTTGGGAAGTATGTTCGGGTTTATATCTTTTCAACTTCAGGTGAATCCAACCAATCACATTATACAGGGAACCCCACGAAGTGATTGGTGCTTCAACGTCACACGTCACTGACTGGATCGGGCCCGGAATGAGGTGATTTTTCCGTAGACAAAAAATGTACTTTTCTTGAGAGTTATAGAGTGAGTGTGAAAGTTTCGTCGAGTGGGACGAGATTTGACTGTTCGTCCCTCTCACTACCGTTCAGTGAGTGAGCTTTAAACGAGAGTGAATGATACCGGCGTCAATTGACCTCGGTCGGCCGGGTAAGGAAGCGAATCACGTCGATAAATCGGCACGATGCTCAGGAATCGCTGTTGGAATGAATGCTTGCATGGGTGGATTAAGTTTGGGCGCTCAATAGCCTAGTGAGTAGATACCACTGAGGTCGAGGTTTATTGGAATAACACCGCTTCCTTTGAACCAAGCGCAATTGTTTACGTACCTCTGGTATTGAAATTCGCAATAGTTTAGTGATAGATTTCACCTGAATAGCAAAATAAATTTGAATTCTTTCACCAGATAACAGAAATTATATTTTTCTCTGTAATTCTCGGATTGAACGTTCTATCCAGAATGCCAATGGCAACAACCGGTCACCTGCAGCTCCTCCCTTTGTTAATCAGCTGTCACATAAGAACTCGTCCTTCGTGAATCATTTCTCATCCTCGTCGCATCTTTTTGAAGTCTGATTACATCTTTTGACATTTAAGGTTCAGTGAGTGAGAAATGTGGAAATAAGAATAACGCGTAGTAATGCATCTTCCTACAAAGGCCTCAGTATGGTCGAAAATGGGTATCTAGGGTTGTGGCTGGTCATCCTTCCCTTACACCTAGCGAAAGGGCATATGATCCGATCAACTGGACAAAGGCCCCCGATGAATTGCGGTTTTCACAC